ATATTATCCATAATGCAATTATGCTCTATCACAGTGCCCAAGCTTATACTCATTTCAACTATTCTAGTTGCAGTCGGAATTATAAACGGATTTTTCATGAATTTATCCGATATTTCCACGTTAAAAGTACCTGAAGTCTTGTGGGATGGATACAAAGTTTTATAAACCAGTGAATGCTGTTTAAAGCATGATAAAATCTCAGTGAACGTGAGTGATTAAAGGCAAGTGAACCAGCATTAAATATTATTACCTAACGAATGGATTGTCATTGACAAGATCGTGAAAGCGGAAAAGAGTAAATAGTACATAGAAGGCGTCAAGGAAGTTTCATCATACTTGTTTCATTGTAGAGTTGGTATTAACGGATGAAGATCATGGTAAAATCAGCAGCTGAATGAGTCCCTCCGGTGCAAGAGGCCCTAAATTCTCTGGTTTATTAGCCGAAGCTTCAGCAGTTAGGTGGAGGTAGACACTTAACGCTCTTGGCATGTTATTTTTCAAAAGTACGCGTATAGATCAAGTAGACAGTGCTTATTATAGGGGTGAGGATACAGGCTAAGACCACCTGTTTTCGCGCAGTGTAGGGTTACCGCGTTCACGCCTATAGGCGTTATAATCGCTCAGTTTTGCGAAAATAGATTGCATTTGACTAGTTTTAGACTTCTGTAGCCTAAAAAGGCAACATTTTGCTGTATTTTGTTCGTAGTAAAGCGTGAAATTGTATTTATAGCCCGGACGAATTATCAATAAAAATGTAATCCTTTTTAAAAGGTTCCGCATAGAAAGACTATTATTTGCGTTTCAGAGCCTTAAGGCTTTGTTGTTGGTGAGTTGTTTGAGATCTTAAGGTTGTAAATTAGCTACAGGCAAAGGTTCTTGTAATCCCGGTTATTCTATGAGAATCGGGCATTTGAAAAAGAAATAGCTCACAGATATAAGTTAGATGTATGTTTTGAGGATGTCAAACACTTCTGTTATCATCCGCGATGACTGAAATATTCCATAACACATCGACGAGATCATGAGATGAATGAGACGGGCTGCTGAATTTCCTGGTAATTATATCTATTTTGATGAAGTTCCTAGTTAAAATTGCTGAGGCGAAGATGTGATACTGGCTTAATTTACATTTGCACATGGAATTTCATAAGACTGTAATTGCTCAGTGCACGAAATGGCATCAGATTATGTTGATATCAGTGTGCATTAGGTCACGAAGAATAGTATAGATGTTCCTTCTAAAATGTCAAACTACTTAAAATTAGTATCAGATTTCTGTTGAATGGTAGTCAGCAGCTGTGTCCTACAACCACTACATCTGTTACGTAAGTCATATTAATCTTTATAATTATTCATTTTCAGATTACTAAGGTATTTTAAGATCCTTAATGAACAACTTGTGGCTACTAATGATATGGAAGATGCGCTTTCGGTTCATATCTTTAAAGCATTTATTATTACATTAGTTATCTGCAGGGATTTTATGATGTTCAGGTTACAATGCTTCAATGTATGGGGTTATAGCACGCTTCTGTGCGTCAAGGGAAATTTGGTGAAAATCATGATACCATGAAGGTTCCTATAAACTCACCATGAATACTGCAAACTGTTGATAAGAAACCGCATCAAAGGAAAAAATTGCGAATAGCTAGAAAATATTGTTGCAGTTTCAATGATTATTACCTTTTACATTTGAAAATCATCTTTCCAAGTTCAACGTACAATGAGAAGGGAGAATGAACCTTTTTCAGCAAAGGTAGGTAAACACAAAGCGTTCAAGCTTAATATTACTTCTTTCTTGCTTCAGCGATTTAAAAAATACACCTTATTTACTTACTTGCAGATATCCGGTAACGTTAGTCAACCTGGTCACAGCAATTCGACATCGCCGAATTACGACAACTGCGTAAAGACCTTTGCTTGTTGTTATTGTTAATTATATATATCTAACATCCTGCTTACCATACTTTTCTTATTCTATTTGAGTGAAAGTAAATTTGTCATCATGACGAGCTGGAGGCCTGACTTACCAATGAGACCTGAGAAAGTAATTAGTGGCATAATTCAGTGTAAGCGAAATATTGATACGATTGCTACAGCTAAACCTATTCAATTATTCGTATCGTGTACACTTCATCTTACACTATAAGTTAACACACATAATCATATAGATTGACATCACACTTTAAGTGAAATAATAATGGTAATTCACTACTTTTGAATCCACTTAACCTTATACGAAACCGACTCAATTGCAGTGCCTACATTCTTTTCTTATTTTTCAAATACTGAAGTATTTTTTTCACTGGTACCTACAGAATTGCCTATGACTAGGAGACGTAATCGCGTAACTTTAGGCTGATGTTTAGGCTTGACTAAAGTACTTATGATTCACTACTTATATCGATCGATAGTGTTGCTACAGAATTACACCTATATACAGTAACGAGTTCATATCCTTGGGAGTACCGGTCTACCATGCCGTACTGCCACCGCATGCAGAACAAATAGAACACAAAATTAGATAGAAAATTTTATTTCACTGCAATGCAAACAGGTTTATTTACATGTATTATCTGAGCACAGTCCAATATGAAAGTTGTCGTTTGGAAAGTATATCCCATTATTCGACGGAAACTGTCCAGTTTCCGAATCGCGTCACGTTTAAATTCTTCCAAAATTCAGGTAAACAGAACTCTGTGCCCACATCCCAAGCTATCCGGTATTTCAAACTGCAAAACAGAATATCTGCATGGTTATACATGAATGAGTGAACTTACCTTCACTTGTTGTTGTTTGTAGAATCCATTCCTAAAACTGATTATGCAAATGTATCTGGTTATAATTCGTAAAGCGCTCATCACTGTTTTTCGGATATCTTTGTCTGAATGCGGCTACATCTGCTTACACTGAATGCAGTTAACTGACAGACTTCATTGCAACCCATCATTCCTAAAAGTGATACAGATTAAATTCACTTACATAAATGAAGCATTTATATAATTAACATGCATGACCATATATGAGTTAAGTATAAGTTAAGTTCAGTCTTCCTAATTTACACCCATTTTGAAGTATGAAGCACGTTAATGGTGCAAAAAAATATCATGAAAATTACGCACACATAATATTATTAACTGCCGGTAATTGTGCCATCGAATCATACTACAAGAATACATTTGACAATACTTTGTTAGTGGTGTGAGGGACAAAAATACTAGAGAGAAACATACAGGTTAGATGAAAGTTCCCAAAGCTGTCTCACTACTATACAGTGTCTCACTCGTGGATTTTCCCTCCGCATGTGAACGTAACCACATACTGATATGTGGAAAAGTTCTTCAATGTTACCAATATATAAGGTCTTCGCCTTTTGAAAGTCTTCTAATGCGTTCGTAGCTTCTTACGTATGTGCTGCTCCCGCTCGCACTGATTACCTGCGATGAAATTCTAGAAAAAAGGCTCGTTAACGAAACGCATTATTGCCACAGCTTGTCACAGTTAATTCGCAAGAAACACAGGATACCGACTGTGAGGGAGAAATATCAAAGTAGGAAATACTGTACGTATAACCACAACTCAAGAAATGCATTGGCACCCACGGGATGGCAGTCACTGATAGCCACCATAATGCCTGACCAGTTTCGAGGGAGTTTATAACTAAAAGAGCAGTGTGTCTGTATAAAAAACAGTGAAACAATGTTAGAATAGTCAAATGTTACATCTATGTTCGTCAAAGTTGCTTGCAAACGACGCATAACACAACCTCAAACGATAGCACCTACCAAGGACAAATCAAATATCCAACTGTCCGCCACTGTTCCAGCCAATGAAAGACGAGAAAACCTGAGGCGCGGAAAATATAACGGGTGATAGCGTATATCCTCACTTAATTATAGCTTCACTTCCACCTCTTTTTAGTCATGTAGATTGATGCCTCGTCACATATACGAAATAATTTATGTTGACTGCCCAATATGCACTTGCTTTGTCGAGGCAAGCACATGTCTAGTTGGCTGTCAGAGAGATCTTGTAGTTAACATTACTCACTGATCGCATAGACTGAATGGAAAGCACTGTAGTTGGATATGCTGAACGTATGTCATTTTCAGGCACTTTGAGTTTCATCCTAAAGGATAAACCCTGTGCGACCTTTGAATCCAGAGTTACCACATGAATTTTTTTCTTGACCACGAAGCCACAATCCACAGATTTTTATAGTATTATCGAGGCTAAAGGTATTGACGTTCACGAATAGTATGAAGTATACTGACGCAAGATCTAATACTCAAAACTTCTATAGTATTCGTTCCGCGTAGACCAAAAGCAAAGCAAAACACTAGAAATGATCTTCCAAATTAGGAGTTATATTTCGGGACCAAATCGGAGTGAGACATGATTGCTTGGCCAGCTAGGGATCGTGCATGAACGGACGAACGTGACACGACTGTGTAGCGGAGAGCGTGTATGCCTGACCGGAGGCCTTCAGCTAAATAAGTTGACTTAAATAATGAGGTTCAGCATCCAATGTTCAGTGATGAATGCTGTGGCTAATCATTCTGAGGAATTCCCTGCCACTACTGGTTTCTACACTGTTACAACAGCACACCATGATCAACAGATATCTTGTCGGAATTCAAAATACCCGGGAATTTTCTGTGCAGCTATTCGCCATAATTAAGTGGGAGCTATGGTGTCCGGATTCTTCGTTCACACTGAAAAGTCTTATGGAATATGTTCGCTAAACTGTTGGGTTTTGGCCATAAGAGGACCAAAGTAGTCCAACAAAACTGATAAAACTGAGTCAGCACCGTCTGGACTGCCCAACGCTATTGAATGATGGTAATTCTACCTTCTCATTTATATGTCACCTATCGATTTGTTGCATGTCATCCCTTCCTTGAAAACAGTATTCTGAGATAACCATTATAATCGAATAATATCTATCAGTAGTGAAATTTTTTGTTTATATTGTAGTATTTACCCTCATGCTAATAACTAAGAAGATATCTATTCAGCTGAGGAAATAAAGTAGATCAGTTTATTGCATTGTTGTCTTTAACAAATATAGAGTTACCGCGTTACTTTTATTTTTGCGTTACTCACGTATGGGTTCTGTTTCAGAGTTTGATCCGGTTTCTGATTTCCTTGCACGCGAGCAAGAGGCTCTCGGTGACTTGGGCGATGACTTCAGGCTGGATGAAAACTGTCCAGGTATTATTTTATTCATCATAGTATATCGATGGTGGGGTTATAACACCATTAATATATAAATGGTTTTGGTGTGAATGATGAATGCTCAGTGTACATTGCTATTCGTCATTGTTTTGTATATTTTTGCTTGGTGCACTTGATTGGCGAAACAGCGTACGACAAATCACATATTCGTTACTGAGGAGTGTCTCAGGGTGTCTCATAATGATAGGCCTTAATTAAGTCCCATAGGATTAATACACTTACACCAGACTATTTTTTATAACATGTGTAATTTTCATATAATTTTATTATTAAGCGAAAAGTATGAGGTTAAACGTTTGCAAATCAGATTATTGTGGTTATCCCTGCCCGAAATTTGCTCCAGTATTCCCACTGATCTTGATACTTCTGTGGTTTGAAATATGGGAATTCATTTATCACTTTGAATGAGGGACGCCCCTTTATAGACATAGTAATGTATGGTAATTATTTGTTTTTTGTTCTTGGGTTAGCTTAAAAGTCATAGTGTTACACTTCAAAAGAATTAGATGTCTAGTAATGAAGTGTTGCATTACAATTAAAGTGGTTACCATTGCATCTTCTTTTTTAAAATGAAACTGGTAATAAAACTTATTCTGAAGAGTAACCAAGTATATGATAAACTTCATTCAAATAAAGTACATGTCTTAAGTTGGTTATTTCATAAGTTCATATTATGTCTTACCTTAATGTTCCTGTTTTTTTTTTTACATTATTCTTATGCTTTAGATATTTATTTGACTACGTTTTCTGACGACCGTTGTTACTAACCACTACCAAAACTAGTTAATTATGTGCATAAATAGTAATAATTGCGTGTAAACAGCACTTGCAACTGTCATAATGTAGGTAACACAAGCCGCACTTCAGTTATTACTGTTAACAGCAGCGTTATGTCACTTAGTGCGGTGACCATATGGCTAATTCATAGGATACTTTTGCTGTCACTTAACACCTGGGGCCAAGCTGTTACATTGGTCACTACCTTGCTACCAATGCACATATCACACGCGACGATGAGACTTGCATATATCCTCACCCAACCTATGTAACATAATTTTTGAAATCTTGTCGGCCAAAATTCCAACCTAGCTGTTTCTGAACTTTACCTAAAATTTTCAATGTGTGGAAACTGTAAAAGTGTGGTAGAGTCTGTGTAATTTATTCCTCAAGTTTGGGGCGAGAAGTAATAGACAGATTCGGGACAGCGATACATATACATATTCTTAGCGATGTTATCTAAGACAGCGGTCGCTGGCGTTCCCATGAAATTGAACCTGGGGAGGAAAGTTCTTTCTCTCTGACTCAGATGAATGAGAAATATATATATATATATACTGAATATTATGCGATATAATAGACACTTGTGAAAATGGTGTGTTATAAAGTGTGTATTTGTTTCTGGTAAAAGTTCTTGCATAGTGTGATGTTAAATCAGCGTGCAACTTTTATTGAGACATGTACAGAGCATCAGTGTCCACATGCTGGTTATGGCCCTCGAGTCATGTAAGATAACTGAAAGTATTTCAAGAATAATTGTTCGCTGGTCCCGCAGTTTTAAATGTATTATTTTAATTATGTTTCAACTACTGTAAAGCATCAAAAGTCACTTGAGGTATTTATTGTTATCGTTGAAGCGATTCGCATGCCCTCTGCTTATATAGAATAATACGTAGTACTTAGTGTTGATAGCGATCTAGAGTGCTTAGGCAATCAAGGTATGCGACCACAGTGATGATGATGCGTGTCCTGTTTTTATGCACTGGAATGTCAGTCGCACTTTAGTGTAGACTACCAAGTGGAAAATAAATGTAGTGATATTTCATTTCTGAAAGAAATGCAGTTGAAATAAGTACAAAGCTTGGGTACTGTGGTAGAATATAATTCCATTATAGATAAGATTTTATTTTGATAAATCACACATACAGTAATATTAACTGATGACGTTTCGAGCACAAACTATTGCTCATCATCATATCAAGTGCTAGTCAACAGCACTTGCATTCACATGGCGTTGTAAATGTTCCAGACCAAGCTACCCACACCTCGGTGGACGGAAACAATGAGTGGGTCAAAAGTTATGACTCATTGATCGAAAGTCGACTTGGGAACTTGTTAGGCGACAGCTTATTGCTTAGGACAATAAGTCGTACCTAACATTAACGTGGTTATTACGAATAAAATATCTGGATTGCTATTGGGTGTGATTGAACTATGTGTTGGCTCTTCATGAATAATTGCAGTGAAACACTGTTACGAACGGGATTTCAGTAACTAGTGCATGAACTTGTACACCCTATTAATATGAAGAGCATGCGTAAATTCATGCAAGGTAATCCTTAGATTTCATGATTTATGGTTTCTTTTGTCATTTTTCGTAGGATCTTATTCTAACCTAACTGTCATAATTATCATCGACCATCAGGAATTTTTTGATTTCAGTAGTAGTAATCAATCTTGACTTACAGTATTTTTCACTGCTAGTTCCTAAAAATCTGGTTATTTAATCACATACATAATGCATTGTGAGAATATTGGTCTTGTGTTAACTGTCAGATTCCCTTATTGATTTCAATAATGTTTTTTTATCGAACGTTTAGACCCTGCAGTACAACTTAACGAACCCCCTTCGGATGCTAGTTATGTCTTCCTTAATGGAGAGTCGAAAATAAACGGCTCGCATGGTGAGCATAATTCATCCGAAGCTGATTTCGCAGTTAATGATTGTGATCGTGACTATGATGCGACGGAGTCTGATGTGTACTCCAGTGGTACTGAAGCATGGCGCGATGAATTCAATAAACGAATAAAAGCTAAAGATACAGAAGAGGAGAAAAAGTGTTTAGAGCTTATTGAGAATGGAAAGAAGGTAACTTATTTTGTATAATGAGTGAGCACAAATATCAATGGCTTTTCCGTCATTGCTGTACGATTTCTACGTTTATATGTGTATGGATTAGCAGCCATTTTGCAATTTTTACAGACATAAACGTATATATCTTTGCATGCCTCACAATAAGAGTTAGACATCTTTGTTTAAAAAATAACTGTGTCTAGAGGCATTGCTGCTATTGTATACTGGTTGCCATCTCATAGACATGGTGACACATCTCGAATATACTGCTGTATAAAACGGTGCAGTTTGTCATTTTCCGGTCATAGTGTGATTGATGAAAGTGATTCGATTGCAGTGGTACGGCAGTCTATTATGATTAAGTGTGTATTCCTTTGTTTTTTAACTAAATGATTGATGTCAGTATAGTGCTTAGCATAGATGTACAGCAGTTCAAATCGCCACACTCAGTGTAGCACAAAAAAGGGGAAAAAGGATCCAGAAGTACAGTGGTAAGCAGAAATGCTAGGGAGAGAGAATAGTGGCATAGAAAAAAGTTAGGAACTCATGCATATGGATAGTCCCAAAGAGTGAATGCATTTTTGCCACTGAGAACGATTTTAAGCGGCAAACTAGACAGTTTTTGATAGAACTCATCTTTTTATTACAACTGAACTACAGTCAGTTGGGGTGTAAGTGGAGGCCATAAAAAGACGTCAATGGGTATCTCAGTCTTTCTTTCTAACGGATTTGTTCAGGTGGATAACACATATGACTATCCACTGGGATCCAGTCAAGTAAGTATTTTTCCTCCCTAACACTAAATGCTGTTCCTGCACCTGTTACTCCTGAAAATCTAGCCGAAAAACCCCTTTTCATATGTAGGGGGGATTTCACAGATTCAACTCTAACCAGGGAGGTTAGGTGAATTACAACACTTGGGTCCTTCGTGCGTGTCTCCAAACTACAACATACATCCATGACTCAAGATGCCAGAGTTACGGCTAGTAAAGCCTGTTGTCTAATTTGTCATAGGGTTTGCATATTGAATGCTCCAGTATGACGTTGGCAGCGTGGCTTTAAGAGATTACTGATATTTCCTTTTTGGGTCTCGTTGCTGTTATTGATCACGTAGTGAAGAGATGAGGGACCTGCCTGAGGAATATTATTATCAGTAGGAGAGAAGCAAGATGGTGGTGACGTAGATCAAGATGGGTGATGATCGGAAGGGCTTTGTGTGCTTATGAAGTGTGTAGGCCACTGTTATTCGCCGGCTGCCCACACCACGGGAGTTGTCTCTTCCTCGGGGTCACTGGAATAGAATGTGTCGCGTGGCTGCAGGGCCCAGGGACAACTGCTTGAGACTCCTCACACATGGCCTGTTTGAATTGGTTTTTATAGTTGTGTCCGTATTAAGATCGTGTTGCTGGCTATGAACCACTGTAAGCTAAGTGGGAATGTACAGTTTTAGGGGTCGGCCTTTTCTAACTCCCACTCCAGAGTAGAGAAACAACATGCTAAGATGCTAGTTATGTGAGGAAGACACCTTACTGCCGTTACACGCCTATTCGCCAGCAGTACGACTCAGTCCTCAGATCGCCCAACATAGCACAAACACGCTATACCAACAACTGCTTTTGGTCTAACTGAACGTATTTTACGGCATGGTACGACTTACGGGGACACTGGATCCAGCCAGTGCAGCTCATTGGGTTATGCAAGCCTGACCACCAAGTCAAGGTAGCGGCATTCAGTCTGGAAGATTACGTTAATGATCTATAGTTCAATTTCTGATGAATTATGTTTATGTTCAAGTTGAAATATGCTTATCTCTTTCAACTGTTCATTCAGCAGCTGTTAGATGTTGAGTGGTAAGCAGCATTTTTATAACAGTTGAAAATCTGTTAGAATTGTAGCTACAGAAGACAAGGGCCATGCAACAGATTCTTTATTGAGAAAATCAAGAGATATTTGTAGACTTTTTATGTACGTTATTATTCGTTAGTGTTAGCAGAGAAACAACGTCTTCTGATTGGTTGTTTTCTTGCTGAAGGTTATTCTGTCATCTCTTTGTGGCCGCTTCTTAGAAAGTCAGGCTATATATTGCGAATTGTATTTGCACGCGTTAAGTTTGCTGTGACTGGTTGGTGAGTTCCTAAAGGTTAGGCCTTGTACTTTTTTTCTCTCTTGACCCTGATTCGGGACGTAAACACTGACGTAAACTGTTGTCTACAATTTCGGCTAGCAGGCAGCTCTCACCACAAAATGTTTGATACATCAATGCTAACCGTATAATCCGTTGACCATTCACTTTCAACTTGTGCAATCTTTTGAAATGAACCAGTCAGATTTAACTAGTTCGTGTGATGGAACTCCATTTGTTGGCTGAATCTTTTTTCAAGTGTATGGGATTCGACTCTGGTTTTAAATGAAAAGGCCAGTTGTTTCGGTATTCAAGAAGTAACTTGAATCTGGTCAACGAAACTCACTGATTAGTCTGAGTTTCACTGCATATCCATCTCTTACTTATTTTCGTAATGATCATACTGTAATTATTTTTTCGCTTTGGGGGGGGTTTAAGTTTACAGATAATATCAGAGAATCATATACTCTTTTTCTATGTTGTATAGGAGTTAAACGATTGGTACAAGAATTATCATCAACAGCTGGAAACCAGATCGCGTGAATTACGCGAGAAGAAAGGTGATTCCAATAGTTTAAATGGTCAATTCATAAATGGTGGTAGTAAACCATCTGTAAAAGACTCTGCTGTTTGGGAAAGTATCTGCAATTTATGTGATTTTCAGGTATTCCCTTTTTTTACACAGAGTATTTTTTTATTTGACACTGCCTATTTATTTGTTAAGTTGAATTCACTTGGAGATGCTTACCTACTTTATGTGAATGTGTGTTCGGCCTATAGTGATAGATAGTTTAGTATTTACTTGTGACTGTATATAGTTCACTGTATATGCTGTCACAAAGCTTTCGATATTGATACAGTTGACGTAACTTTTAATCCGCTATACAATGATGTATGCGGTTATGCAGTTGCATATCACGTTCTTAATTCCTTCACTTGGTCGTACTATCTGAAAATTATATTTTAGCTATGAGTCAGTGATCATTTCACGCGTAGTTTATTACATTTTCTATTCTCTAACGATCTCGAGTAGCTGTGGTGAGCAAGATGTCAAGTGTTAGTTTGCAGGCATTTGACGGATATCAGATAGAGAACCACTGGACACCTGTTTCGTCATCGCCTGGGACTCTTCATCATTACTTGCCTACTCTGGGGTTCAAACCCAAGGGCTTTCCGGTTATAAGGTGGGCTCGTAGACGATTCAGCTACTGGAATCTGACCCATTCGCCAGCCCATCAATTTCAACTTCTGCCAATTGGTGCGTACTGGTGAAGAGTCCCAAACCAGGATGAAACAACACAACTTTCATTTAGTCAGCATTTAGAAAGCCAACCAGGGTGTGTATTTTAAATCAAACAGTAATTTATATTGGTTAGTTGATTAGTTGGTTACAATAGTTCAATTACAACTGCGCATTATATGCCTACATTGCTATGCTATTTTTATGTCGAAACTTTCGGGAGTCAATGTAGTGGATTTGTGTGAATCTAAACAATTTCAGGCCATCATGAAGACTTCTATCCGTTTAGAGATTCCAATACACAGATCACCGCATAAAGAATATTCTTTTGGATATTTTTTTCTCTTTAGATTAGACAGTTCTGTATCTATCTGTATTTGGTAGTTAATCACTTTGTATACGCCAACTGTATAACGGCTTTTTGTCAGGACGAAGTTAAATAATAATACTGACTGACTGGTTTCAACACAGAACTTTGTACAGATGTGCAGCAATTGAAGTTGCCACACTCCACGTAGCACACAAAGCAAGAGAAGAGAGTAAAGAGAGATGATAGACAGAAATGTAAGGCAAAACGAGCAGTAGTAATACAGAAGAACAATAGAATTTTACTGGACATTATAAATCACAAAGAGTGAATGGATCTACGCCAGCCATTGAGGACAATTTTCAACAATATCACAGATTGTTTTCAGGCGTCATTGGTTCTTACCACCCAAGGATTCCAAAAAGAAGTGTGCCGTACCCTCCTAAGTGGTTTAAACTAACTTGTGGATTCCGCTGACTAAAGAAGCCATATTTTCGTTTTACTACCACTGGCTCTTTTCCAACCTGACTCACCCTATGTCAGCTAACATTGCCCATTATCGAGGAAGACGACGGATAGGCATGCGTAATACATGTCATAACCATCTTATTCGATGCAGCTGCTTCACAACGCCGTCGATTGATTTCCTTTCCCACCCACCTAGCATTCGACGCCTAACCTCTATACTGCCCACCTTGTTATACCACCTAACACGGAAGATAGAACACAGACACCTTATGATCAAAGACAACCAGCGGCTTTTTCATGTCTTCCACTTTGAATGGCCATGTCTCACAGCCATAAAGGAGGACGGAGCAGACTTTTGAGCAGTACTCTACTAGCTCCCTAAACCCCCATATCAACTCATGATGAAATGAAGAATATCTGATCAAATAAGTGTTTATAATTTCATTCAGTGTACTTTCAAATGATTAAAATTTTGGCTAATTTTGATTCCTATTTGTTTAGTAGCCCTGATTTTGAATGTTCTGTTTTTTCTTCCTTCCTTTTGATTTAACTTCAGTCGAAACAAAAAGTTGCAATTGATATGTCAAGAATGCGTGGTATTCTGTTATCCCTTAAACCAAACAGTTGAAGAAAGCATTATACACATTGTGCACTCTGTACCTACTTCAGTTTCTTTTTCGTTGTTGACTTACGCAAAACCAACATATATATTTCACTTACAATCCATTGGTTCTTCATTTCCAATCACACTGGAGAGTGCCTTGATTTAAATTGATTTTTTTTTTGGTTTATACCCTTTGTTTTCATGAGACCATTGTTTTTATATTCACTTTTGCGGATGATATGATATTCACACTATATTGTCTTGCAAAGAGGTGTGCTGTTTTCACATTTTTTTTAAAAATAGGTACATTTTGGTTATCTAAACTAGGTTTTGTCTCACGTGTCGTCTATCTTAGGTTTGCTTTTATCTAATTGTATAATTTATTGGCTTTGATATACTCTCTCTTTCTTCGAACGTCGTGTGTGTGTATGTATGTGTGTGTGTGCCTGTTTCGTCGCTTGCACGCTTCTCTTATCCATTGTAACTGGGATTTTTACACTGATATATATTCTAGTTTGTGATCTTTTTACGTTTCTTTTTCTCTTTTAATTGAGAGACATTGTGTGCCTGTCTGCGTGCGTGCGTACGTGCCTATGCGTTTGTATTTGTTGAATAAATACGTGTTAATTTGTACTTGTTGTTTTCCCTATCTTGACGATGGTGTTTTTGCCCACTGAGGGTGGGAGTGGTTGTATGCCATATGTTTGGTGGATTACTGTTTGTCCGTATGTTTGTTTGTCTTCTGTTATATTTGTGTTATGAAATTTTGCGAACCTATATATATATATATATATATATATATATATATATATATATATATATATATATATCCTGTTTCTGTCTAAAAAAAGTGTAGAGTGGATCATTGTGTGATTGGTTGACTAATATGAAAAAGGGTTAGTGGTTGTGGTCTGAATGAGACTTGTCATCAACTCATGAAGTCATTATTCACATTATTTATCTGAGCCATCTAATAATAATTAATAATCTAAGAAGGTGTTTATTAAACCTGCTAGGGTTCTTTTGACTCTGACAAACAGTCTGTCTGGATTCAACATAGAACTTGGCACCGAAGTGCATCAGCTCGAGTTGCCACATTCCAAATAGCACACAAAGGTAGACAAAAAGATGAGTGAAGAGAATCAATAGGCTTGAACAAAGCAAGAACAACAATTGTACCGGGATAATATGAGCTCATCTTTTATTATTTCGAGGATTCTTCTCAACTGGTTACAACCTGAACGTTAAAAAATATGAATTACATTAAAGATATGAACATACTTTTCCACGATCACAAGGAGTAATTGGTAGGAATTAAAAGTGACATTAGTCCGGAATGATTTAACTGATTAGGAGGAGTTACAAACACTGACTATTTATAGAATTTCTATTCAACTTCATCATAGATGTGTTAATGGACTTAACCCTAGGTGACTTCAGCGACTCAGGGATTGACTTGCTACCGGGGAATAATCTCGTTGACTTCGAATATGCAGACGATATAGTCCTTCTAGGCGAAGACGCTGACAAAATGCAGAGTCTTCTAAACACCTTGAGCCGCAATCTACGAATGTTTGGCATGCGATTCGCTCCCGCCAAATGCAAGATGATGTTACAGGACTGGACTACATCGACGCCTAGTTTAAAAATAGGAAGTGAAGTGGTAGAGCACGTTGACCGCTTCACTTATTTGGGAAGCAAGAGAAAAAATAAAAATAAATTCGAAACCAAGATAATAAACGGAGATATGAGACAAAAAGAATAGTAACAAGGAAGAACAATAGAATTTTATTGAATATTATAAATCACAAAGAGTGAATGGATCTACGCCAGCCATTGAGAACCATCTTGAGCCATATCATCCATTGTCTCCAGCCTTCATTGTTTCTTACTTACTTACTTTACTTCGGCTATCTCCTACGGGAGGATGAGCCGGCTTCATGAACCATGAAGTTTCATGGGAATTGGGTACGAGTGATGTCCCCAGCATCTCTCGGTCATTGTTTCTTACCATCTCGGAAATCCCTACACCTCCATACGTGACTGGTTGGCTTAAACTAATTGTTGTGGATTTCATTGACTGATGAAGCCATGTTTTTGTTTGACCACTACTACTAGCTCTTTTCCAACCTGATCTCATGTCAATCAGCTAACATTGCCCATCGAGGTAGGCGATGGCTAGGCATACCTGACACATATCCTAAGCATCACAGTCGATGTAACTTCACAACATCGTCTATTGATTTCCCCAGGTGAAGGTATACTCCCGCATACCCATATAATTTAGATGAATGTAATACATGAACATGGCTATAAAGGTTAATAATGGCGCACAATATGACAAAACTTCATTTCATATTGAAACGGACATTTGAAATAATTTCAAAAAATGGGTGAGATGGATGTCCTTTCGAATTAAAGACGTTACATAACCAGTCATATCACCACACTTCAATAAAACTGGTCTGCATATATTTCATTATGGTGTAAATCCCAATTTAGGACATTAGCAAACGAATCAAGCTCAGGAATCCTGAGAAATTGTTCCGATGTACAAAACTCAGAACAAGAATAAGGCAATTAAATCACTTTATATACATAGTCATACATATTTAATGGGTGAGAGGTCGTCATATTACTGCAGTGGGACAGGTTCATACGAAAAAATGATAATTTAGATTGATAAGTAGTACTTGTAAATGAATATGAAAAGTTTGCAGATTCGATCTTCCACAAAGACCCGTTTCGATGGCCCAGAATAAAACGAGACGACTGCCTCTCATTCTACAGTTCTCCTTAGCCTTCTAGCTTCAATCTGTTCCTGATGAAAACCATATCCTGAATAATAGATTTTTTACAAGTTATTTAACTGAACTATATAATTTGGTGTCAGTCAATGATTGATTCTGAAATAGATCTTAGTAAGTAAGTTCTAAAAGGTTTAGGGGCTAAAACCAACAAAACCGGCAGAAGAGGTTTGCAGAAAGACTGGACTTCAAGTGAGCATGGAGGTGATGAAAGCGAACGACCAACAACAACAAAAATCAAACACCATCAGCGGAATAAATTTGAAAGACGACGTTATTTCCCTCACTTATCTAGGAAGCATGGTTTCAAATACAGATGGAATGGATGACGATGGAAAAAATGCCAGAATTGGAAAGGCAAGACAGGCTTGCATCACTCTGAAATCAGTTTGGAAATTTACCGCATCCGGCATAAACGAGTAAATTCGGATTTTGAACACAAACGTTAAGTCAGTCAGCTCTTCTCTATGAGGGACAGAAACTTGGCCAATCAGTGACGAAAAGCATTTCCAACAGGCTACTGCTAACTTTCAGCAGCAGCTGTCTTCGTTGGTTCCGTACTGAAGACCATATGGCCAGAAAGAATTAGAAACAAGAAACTCTGGGAACAAACTAACCAAGAACCTATTGATCAATAAATATGTAGAAGAAAATAGAGACGAAGCGGAAACACGCTAAGGAGGCTGTTGAATGACATCGCGTGCAGTGTAGGCCATCGCTCAAGTGGAGCGCAAAAGGGAAACATGTTGGGTGTCACTTCGAGGGTGACGTACAGGAGGTCATGTGAAGAGGAGATGAGCTGTTGAAGCCCTATGTCCCAACTGGAACCCAAAGGAACGATTAAAAAATTAATAGATAATAGTAATAAGTGTTAAAAGGCGGTTTATTTAGCCTATGAGATAAAAGAATTGCGTAGGGTTCGTGAAGGACGAAAGTAGCGGCATATAACAAATTAATATTAAATAAAAGGCTGCGAATCATTGAATTACAACTTAACAACAAGGAAGTGATTTGTATGACTGGCTCACTACACGACTACTAAGCACTCACGCTAAATTTTTAAATCAGCACCTGTTAAGTACAAAAATTTCCTACTCTAAGTTTTGTAATAAACAAATATGGGTGTATTGCAGAAGAACTGCTAGAATGAAGATTACTGAACGTCTTTAGAATCTGTAAGATATTGAGGAGTGAATGCGATGATTGTGGCTATTCAGAACAATATTAAGCTACACTATTAAGAATTTCCAACCACAACTGACTGTCAGAGCGCATGCCTAACCATCGCCTCCCCCGACGGGCATTACTAGCTGATATAGGTGCAGGTTGGAAAAGACTAACTGGTGGCCAAACAAAAACATGGCATCAATCCATGAAATCCTTGACAGTTAAACTGAGTCAGGTAGGGAGATGCAGACGTCCGGGTTGGGGCCCTCGGGACTCCAAGAATCAATGGCTGGAGACAATAGGTGACATGACTCAAAACCGTTGTCAATGGCAGATGTCTTGAGACAGTCTCTGTAATCTCTCATATTCCTTTTTACCATTACCCATTCGGTTTCACTATTATACTTGTCAAACTCTATTGATTCTTCATGCAATTCTTCCCATTAATAAACTTGAACCAAGCAAGAACAACAATTGTACCGAGATAATATGAGCTCATCTTTTATTATTTCGAGGATTCTTCTCAACTGGTTACAACCTGAACGTTAAAAAATATGAATTACATTAAAGATATGAACATACTTTTCCACGATCATAAGGAGTAATTGGTAGGAATTAAAAGTGACATTAGTCCGGAATGATTTAACTGATTAGGAGGAGTTACAAACACTGACTATTTATAGAATAATTAGACAATTAGGCTCGGAGACAAAAACAGGGTTGTGTGTGTGTGTGTGTGTGTAGAAACAAGGTTTAGCTAGAAAGAGCATAACAAAAAGTAGGTTACGTAACTAAAGAAAACATCTTATCTAATAGCCAATAGAAAAAAGGAAAGAAAAGAAACAAGGTAGGGTGAGTCATGTTTAGATGAGAGAGTAGAGTTTTCTAAATATGAAAAAGGTGACTCATGAAAGTTGTATATTTTTTTGTTATCACCAGGGCAGTGCAAGATTCACCACTGTCTCTTTCTGCGTACATAGATTTGGTTTAAGTTGTTTGATGGCAATTGCTTCAGCAAAGCGTAGCAAGCTAGGTTTCTTTTGCTTGTTGATTATTTTAAACGACTTCAAATTGTCTACAATATGACCAGTTAAATAACTTGTAAAAAATCTATTATTCAGGATATGGTTTTCATCAGGAACAGATTGAAGCTAGAAGGCTAAGGAGAACTGTAGAATGAGAGGCAGTCGTCTCGTTTTATTCTGGGCCATCGAAACGGGTCTTTGTGGAAGATCGAATCTGCAAACTTTTCATATTCATTTACAAGTACTACTTATCAATCTAAATTATCATTTTTTCGTATGAACCTGTCCCACTGCAGTAATATGACGACCTCTCACCCATTAAATATGTATGACTATGTATATAAAGTGATTTAATTGCCTTATTCTTGTTCTGAGTTTTGTACATCGGAACAATTTCTCAGGATTCCTGAGCTTGATTCGTTTGCTAATGTCCTAAATTGGGATTTACACCATAATGAAATATATGCAGACCAGTTTTATTGAAGTGTGGTGATATGACTGGTTATGTAACGTCTTTAATTCGAAAGGACATCCATCTCACCCATTTTTTGAAATTATTTCAAATGTCCGTTTCAATATGAAATGAAGTTTTGTCATATTGTGCGCCATTATTAACCTTTATAGCCATGTTCA